GACTTCGAGAGTGGGTGACTTTGAGAAGCTATTTAACTACGTCATTGGAGGTAAGCAATTTACACTTGGATTTCACTTTATATCATGAATTTCTACACCTAAAAGCTTGGATTTTAAAGTGAAATTTGGGAATTTTTGGCAAAACTTTTGGAAAGTGAATAATTACGATTTGAACCCCGAATTAGAATCGATTTTGGATGAAACTTACATGTTTGGACTCGTATTGGAATAGGTGTTCAGGATTTGTGAGTTTTGTCGGGTAGCGAGCTGGGTTGACATTTTGATTGACTTTGTGTATATGATTAAAGATTCAATCTTTATTGTTTGGGTTCGATTTCCATGACTTTGTTTGACGTTGTTTGGTTGTATTTGACTAGATTTGAGCCGTTTGGAGTTGGATTTTTTAGGATTTCATATTTTTGGGGATTTTTAGGCTATCGGGTGGAGGTAAGTCTCTTGGCTAACCTTGTTAAGAGGGAAACCCCTAGGATTTGACTTAATTGCTATTTGTTTAAGATATTGGGGTGGTGGATATACGTGGTGGCGAGCTTATATGCACTTACCGAGTTTATATCATGACCGGAGTAGAATAGGAATGTTATATGCCTTGTTTTGACTATGTGCCCATTTGATTCATGATCTCTAATTCATGTTAGAAATCATGTCGAGGTTTATGATTAATTACGAAGGGATGGAAACTTATCCTTGATATGTTGAATTCTTAAATTGTCCATAGTCACATAGATATTCCATGAGCACATATCCGTACGATTTCTATTAAGTTTTTGTGCACCTTTAATCTGTAATTCTTAAGCATATGCATACATTTTGAATAAGGACACTTGATTTGGACTGAGAATTTTGACAAGAAAGGTAAAGTGTACAGATGAGATACAGTTATGGCACATTGGACATGATGATCGGATATTGATTTAAGAGTGGTGCTATTATGCTCCTCTTTGCACTTGGATTTAGATTCGTCCCTCCGGAGTCAGGTGATAACCCGTATTACTTTGGTCCCTATAAGCATGGTTGGTGCATGTATTTTGTACAGGGTTGATACATAGATTTTGTATCGGAATATGTTGATACATGGATGGTGTATAGTGGTACATGGATCTTGTACCGGTTTGAGCATGCATTCACATTATTTACTCATGTAGAAAAATTCATTTAACTGTTAATTGTTACTTGACATCCTTATATGCTAATTGGGAGTCACATTGCTCTGTTAATTGAGCATGCCATCTTGTATTACTATATCTAAGCAGCATTTTGGTTAATTCTATACTGGAAAGCATGCTTAATTCCTTTCAACTGTTGATATCTCTGATTCTTATTATTTATGGCATTATCTACTATTTCAATTGTTAATTCTATTACTATACCAGTGTGGTAAGTATTCAGAAGCATCAAGCCTCGCCACTACTTCTTTAAGATTAGACTTGATACTTACTAGGTACCGATTGTGGTGTATTTATACTACGCTTCTGCATATCTTTTTGTGCAGGTCTTCAGGTGGGTCCTAGAAGAGCTTCCTGATTGAGCTTGGTTGACCTCACGAAGACTTAGGATGAGCTGCACTTCATGGATCTACTTCGCAGTTCCCGAATTCCTGTTCCTTTGTTATTCATGTCTATTTATACTTCAAACAATTGGTTATGTATACATACGTGCTCTTATTTTCGTATATTGCTCGTGTACTTGTGCCACCTAGTCTTGGGTGGTTGTACCATATTCACCGTGTTTAGGCCATGTTTTGGTTGTATCGGCTATTATTACTGTTTTGAGACTACTTCCATCTTTAATTATTATATATCTCTAATTAATGAAAATAGACTATATTTGTTGATTGTGAGTTGGCTTGCTTAGAAGTTCGGCTAGGCTCCATCACAGCCTTGAGGTGGGATTTTGGTTCGTAACAATTGTATGGGGTAGAGTGTTGGCTAATTAAGAACTCACATGTTCAGGAGATAAAAGTAGCAAAAATAAAGATGTTGAGATAAATGTTTTGGAATACTATGAAAGATATGATTAGGAATAAAGGTATACAGGGCAAAGTGGGAGTGGACTACATGGTGGACAAGATGAGAGAAGTGAGACTGAGATGGATCAGCCGTATGAAGAGGAGATGCACAGGTGCCCCAGTGAGGAGGTGTGAAAGGTTGGCAATAATAGGTCTAACGAGAGGTAGAGGTAGGCCAAAAAAGTATTGGGGTAAGATGATTAGACAGGACATGGTACATCTTCAATTTACTGAGGACATGACCTTAGATAGGAGGGTATGAAGGTCGAGAATTAGGGTAGAAGATTAGTCGGTAGTCGAGGAGTGATATATCACTTTCCTGTGGAGAGGCATGGTGACAGTTTGGAGCACCTTATTTGCTCCTCCTTCTACTATCAGTAGTATTAGTATTATTCTCGTACTATCCTATTCTGCAATTTCTTATATTATCTGTTATTTCTTTTGTGTTGGCTATATAAACAAAGTGCTAAAAATACAGAATCTAAACTAGATGTGTAGGGCCCTCGCGATGCGAGCCCCATCACATTCTCCCCTAGGTTGTCGCCATTCCATGTAACGAAAAACCTTACTGGTCTGCACATCTAGTGTAATTGTTTGCTGGTTTTTCAATTTAAAATCTCTCGAATACCTCAAAACTTACTTGAGCACCTAGGACCCCTCCTGATCATCACGACTAGTCCAAATACCCTATATGGACTTGTCCAAAGGCTCAAAGCATGAAGCAAAATGCAATAACACAGAAATGAGGACTCATATTAAACTTAAGAATCTTAAGGTTCTAACTTTCATGCAATAGTGCCAAAATGGTCCTGAGCCCCTCGGATCCTAATCCGAACATACGTACAAATCCAAAAATATTATATAAACTTATTAGAAGCTTCAAACCATGAACCAAAGTGTATATAATGCAATGTAGGGGTAAGGTTGCTATTTTTAGCTTTTAAACATTCCAAATGGCCAATTTGTGATCCAAAACCTTCTCGAACCCTTCGGGACCCGCAGAATCATAAAACACCAAATGATCCTACTAAAAATCCTAACTTAGGTAATAGAGTTTTAAACTAAAAACTACAGGTTAGGGTCATTACATTTCTAAGCCTAAGGACCAAATAACTGGCATGTTTACTAAAATTTAGAACGGACCAAAAAGAAAATAAGTTCATGAAATGAAAGTACTAGTAAGCAATAGCAACGCTTGACTTCACTTGCACGGTTCAAAGAATGCAAATATGAGGCGTAGGGTCTAGGTAATGTTATTACTGCCTACGTTATCTGAAAATACACGTCTAATTGACCAACCCAGATATGAACTCACTTTTGAGAATTTAAATGCAAATTGAAGAGCTCCTAATAGAATTGCCTTCCTATAGTAGAATCAAATGGAAAACACGAGAACAGCATCTATAAACAGATTCTCGAGAGACAATAGGGAGTAATTTCACACCCACCCACTAACCACGAAGATATACAATTGAGAGAGAGAGAGTAAGGCCTTGCAAATCAATGGGTAAGAAATATACAATTGTGACCAACTTTGCTGCCATCTGACCCATTAAAAATACATATTTTGCTAGTATTAGTCACTTGAATAAACATTTTCTATTTGTCAGCATGTCCCTGACACGTTAGCTGCAGGAACCTTAGGTGGATAATTTGTCAAGTCAACATCAATGTGAGAGAGATCATGGGACAATGAGACACTATTTGATGCATCTATCAGCAATGAAGAATTCACTGCCTCTGATTTCCCAGTTTGACAGCCAATCCCAGCATTTTCGGAAGTACTGCTAGCAGAAGAGAGACTAGAGAATTGTATATATTCCAATTTGTTTGCAGATATCTTCTTGCTTTTCCTAACAGTATCCATCTCTGTACCAGTTGGGACAAAAGTCCTCGCCCTGTATTTTTTTGCTCCCTCATCACCCTCGCTATGATTATAGAGCACGTAATCATGATAAGTCGGAGCAAACTGCATTAGTGGAAGAACATAAATTTGTGAAGATACATTTGGTTATACAGTAGAAGGCAAAACGGAAAATGAGCATGTTGCCTGGTTTACCTGGTGGACAGTGTCATGGTAAAAGTCATTAAGTTTAAGGGCATGGCCAAGGCTAGCCAAAAAGCCATGAGAAGGACCAACATTAGCTCCAGCATACTCCTTGTATGGAAAGGCAAAAAGATGGCCGGCAGCAGCAATAAGCATCTCAACACAAATTATAAAATTCTGAAACTCTGCAGCTTCCTCGGTATCTTTAATAAATCGAGCCTTCGCAGCAAGAAACACCAGAACTCCCTGGAAGTCAGTTACGAAGAAGGATATGAGAACTTGAAGCTTGAAATGGACATAACTTTTAAACACAAGAATATATTCCGTGAACCAAGAGCCAGTAATTCTCTGTCTAGAATTTCAGTATAAACTCTGTTACACACCATTGCATGACCAAAAAATAAAAGGAAAACTAGCCCTTTAAAAATACATGACTTATCCAAGCTAAGTTAAAAAGGTAATCCTCAGCTTTGTCAGCAAGCAAACTACCACATTTCAAAAGCAGAAAAGGTAAAAGCAACCATTCCTCCTTAATAAAGATTTGTTATTTTATTTTATTACATAGGGTAGGGGCGGGAAAAATGGAGGAGGAGATTACAAGGTGAGGAATCGAACCCTCACCAACTACGACTACCTACTAATCTTCTACCCTTATCCTCGACCTCCATATCCTTCTATCTAGGGTCATGCCCTCACTAAGCTGAAGATGTGTCATGTCCTGTCTAATAACTTTTCCTCATTACTTCTTCGGCCTACCTCTACCTCTCCTTAGACCCACAATTGCCAACTTCTCATACCTACTCACTGTGGCATCTGTGCATCTCCTCTTCACATGCTCAAACCATCTCAGTCTCGCTTCCCTCATCTTGTCAACAACGGAGGCCACCCCCACCTTGTCACGAATATTTTAATTAATCGTATCTCTCCTAGTATGTCCCCACATCCATTTCAACATCCTCATTTTCACGCCGTGATAACTTCCCTTTGGAGAGTTAGTGACTGACCAACACTCGGCCCCATATAACATAGCTGGTCTAACAACTACTCTGTAGAACTTACCTTTAAGTCTTTGTGGGACCTTCTTATCGCACAAGACACCGGATGCGAGACCACAGTCAAACGAGAATCAAGCAAAAATGGCCATCTAGTGAACAGCATAACAATTCTAGGCGTAAAAGCATTCCCAATGGGCATCAATAAGCAGTTGAAGAAAGATAACCACTTAGGAAAAAACGCAACAATGTGAAATGGTTTTTCCCGTGTGCACCAATAAGCAGTTAGTAATAATAGTTCTAGAGTTTAACTGTTTTGCTGGACTTGTGAAAGCAATTTTTTAGCTAACAGAGCCAATGAAGTGAAAAGCATCAAACCATGCCAGATTTGGTGCAATAAGGCCAGTGATAAAAGATTATAGAAGGTTTCTTTACCAAATAATACAGAGTAAATAAATGTAATTAAGCACAATTCAATTTCAGTGGTGGATACAGAATGTGATTATATAAATTTATAGAAAGATGGAAAATCCTACCTGCCAGTAAGTAAGGAATACAACAGATTTGATTATGATAAACTTTGGAACTGGATTAAATGGCTGGAGCAAATCTCTGCATGCCACGTAAAACAAGATCAAGGCATAAAGTGCCATCGAGTATGAGATAGTATAGATAATTGTGAGGTAGAGGTAGGATTGCATTGGACTGAAATTTCCATCCTCATATTTCTGTTTTGCATAAAGTATGAATGTGACTGCCACTAATATGGGCTTGAGGATCACAAACTGCAAACATCCCTGCTTGCACCTCCGAATAAAGCGCCTGCATAGCTTTGACATCAACAGAAATGCAGTTTACAAAATATAAAACACGAGATGAAATCTCGAATCATCTAACAAAATTTATAGCGTTCAGTGTTGTCAAAGGCACGCTTAAAGCGCGCTAAAGCCCTGAAACGAAGCTCAAAACATGTTGAGTGCTTCGCCTCGCTTTGTGGGCGCTTCAGTGTCGCATCAAGGATCTAAGGCATTCTTTTTCTTACCAATGAGTATAATCCTGAAAAGACGACACTAAACAATTGATATTTCACTTTATCGTAATTCTTTTCAATTTCTTTGTCCATATATTTGTTATTCATGCTTATAATTATTGGTCTTAGACTACATATACATATTTTTACTTTTTCTCCAGTTGCGCATTTTTCATTAAAGCCCACGCTTTAATTATGCTTTGCGCTTAAAGCCCCAACGGACCTTAGAGCTTTTTTGCGATTTTCGCCTTTGATAACACCGATAGCATTTCCGCAATACCTACGCGATTAACTAAACAGTACAACATGGTGAAAATTAATCTGGTGGCAAGGATCAAGGGAGTCGTTAAGTGGCTCAAGACAACTGAAAATCCATTGACGTCCAAATATTAGATAAAAACTAAAAAGGTCCAAATAATTAATGTTCATTTATGGTGGAGAGAGAATACTATTTATTGACAAATTGCAAAGAAATGTGGCTTCCTGCAAGAGTATCTTACCCATCCAAAGGAATTGGAGGAAAGCAGCACGTCATCAGATACCAATTAGGCTTTATAACTCGGCCACTCAGATTTAGAACAACAGCTCCTGGGCCACCTACCCATGCCAGGCAGAGTGATAGAAAATTATATATGACCCAAGCCTCATATCTGAAATGGAAATTAGAAATATTAAATCCATGAAGTTTATTATTTAGCTTCAAAGAGAAACGTTTACACACCATCTCAGTTCAAAGGATACATCGTATACAAATTTATAACCAAACACCCCCTTCCCCTAAAAAGCTTTTTCTTTTGGCATGCTTGAATAGGATGGAAATTAACAAAGAAAAGATTGAGTCAATTACACATGAAATATTTACAAATGAGCTAAAAATGTCAAACAATGAAGGCAAAGCAACAAACAAATATAAACCAGACTCTCCCATATTGATGTAAATTTTTGAAGATAATAGGAGTAGAAGGGCTATGAGTGAGCCAAACATGTGAAATCCAGATCCCGCCATCCCGGAGAGCCCATGACTCTCCCATATTGATGTAAATTTTTGAAGATAATAGGAGTAGAAGAGCTATGAGTGAGCCAAACATGTGAAATCCAGATCCCGCCATCCCGGAGAGCCCATGCATGAAGATATAACTTAACACAATATTTATTTCTGTATAATTGAAGTATTTATCCAAAAAAAGAATAGTCTCTATAACTGAAGCCACTACACTCCTCTTTCCTCTAAAGTCCAAAGAAATGTGGCCGGAGCTTTGAGGAAGTTCTTCCTTCGATCAGTCAAATGCACTCACAAACACCAAAAAGAACAACAGTAGCAAGTTTATGGATACAGTATGTTAAGCCTCTATAATTGAAGTTAAAATGATCCTTCCCTTTTACTCCAAAAAAAAAAAAGCGAATGATCCTTCACTTCCTCTGAATTCAAAGATATGCGGTTTAAACAAATATCAAGTTTAAACACAAACACAACCACCAAAAAGAGTAACATCCCAAGTATAGGGATCTCATAGTAAGATAGATAACCAAGAATTAATATAATAAAACTAACCTAACAAAGAACATACAGACATGGATCATAGCAAGTCTAATATTGTTTCCATTTCCTCTCTATATGCTGTAAGCATCAACTAATTTCTGTGAGGTTTCCGTCAATGCATAGTCACCAATAAGAGTTCACAAAGACATTATAGTTTTTGCAGTAGTTCAAAGGAAGTTTCAAGCCATTTCTCTCTAAGATCTTTAAAAAATATCGGTTATTGTCATAATATTATTGATGTAAGAAAACCATCATTAAAGTGATGCTGGGACAGAGTACATCCAAAAGAAGACTTTCTGGTGAGTAGGTAACGAACTTAGAGAGTCAACAAAAGCCTCCGGCTCTAAAACATTTGCCGTGTTCTTGTGTAACGACCCGACCAGTCGTTTTGAGCTCTAGCATGTCATTCGGCGGTTTGAGACCCTGAGTAGCTTCACTATATGTAAAATGACTTGCATGTGCAGTTGATTTCGATTTTCGAAAAGTTCGGAGTTGATTTGGGAAGAATAATTCTCAATTCGAAAGCTTTAAGTTGGAAGAGTTGATCAAGGTTTGACTTTTGAGTAAACGACCTCGGAATAGAGATTTGAAGGTTCCTACAGGTCGAACTTGGGCGTATGTTCGGGTTGAGTATCGGATGGTTCGGGAGCAATTTGGCGCTTATTATCGGAAGTTTGCATTTTGAAAGTTTTGAATTTGCTAAGTTTGACTTGGAGTGGACTTTGGTGTTATCAGACTCCGGGTGGTGTTCCGGGACCTTGGATAGGTTCATTTAGTTGATTAGAACTTGTGTGTGAAGTTTGGTCGTGATCCGGAATGTCTAAGTGTGATTCGGACGCGTTCGACGAAATTTGAAAGTTAAGAGAGGGATTTTGATCGTCGATTCTTGGTTTTGATGTTATTTGTGGCGTTTCGAGCCTTTGGATAAGGTATGGGGACTTGCTGGTATGATTGAACAGGGTCCTGGGTGGGCCTCGGGTGTGTTTCGGGATGGTTTCGGACCATTTCCCTTTGATTTGCAGCTGCTGGTTTCTGATGTCTTTGGTACGCATCGCGATCGCGGATGGTGCGTCGCGAAGGGTGCTCTGGAGTTGGGGGCTATTGTTCTTCGCGATCGCGGGTGATGCTCCGCGTTGGCATAGTGGTCTGAGTTGGGGCTTCGCGTTTGCGTGTTGAGGCTCGCGTTCACATAGGGGTTGAAGCCCGGCTGGGGTGAGTTGGTTTTCGCGAACGCGAAGAGGTCTCACCTTCGTGGTGGAGAGGATGTTCGTGTTTTGTGATCGCGGAAGGTCAAACGCGATCGCGTAGGCTATTTTGGTAAGCAGGGGTGTTTTTGCTTCGCGAGCGCGAGCCTTTTGACCGCAATCGCGATAGGTAACGTCTGGGCAATGTATAAGTTAGCAATTCGAGAATTTGCTCATTTTTATCTTATTTCTCTCATTGGAGGCGATTTTGGGGCGACTTTGGAAAGGCATTTTTATCATCTAAATGTAAGTGATTCCTACTCATTGTGAGCTAAATACACGGATTATATATGAATTTTAACATGGAAATTGGTCGACATAGTGGGATTTTGGAAGAAAACCTAGAAATGGTATTTTTGAGTTTTGACCACGAAATTGGACATGGAATTGGATATAAATCATATATTTGAGTTCGTGGTGCTATGGATAATATTTATCATCAAAAATTTTCGGAATTCGGGCACGTGGGCTCAGGGGTTGACTTTATTGACTTTTCGTGTGAAGTTAGGAATTATTTGTAATTGTTAAATTACGAGTCTTTGAGTATATTTTGATTGGTTTGCACGTTCTTTGACTAGTTTCGGATCGTTTGGTATTGGTTTGAGGTGTTAGAGATGCGTTGGAACCGGTTATCAGATTTCGGAGCGAGGTAAGTCTTCTATCTAACCTTGTAAGGGGAAATTTACCCCGTAGGTGTTATATTTGCTACGTGCTACGTGTTATGGGAGCTACGCACGCATGAGGTGACGAATGTCTGTGTGTATGGAAGATTCTTGATTATGTTCGGGTAGACTTAGGCCCATACCATGTTTAAATTGTACTATTTGAGTTATTCTTGCATGCTTAGATACATTAATTTATGTTTTTGTCTGATACTAGACTTGCGTAGAATATCGAACTTTGCTATTATAGATACTTGACGCGCTACTTGATTAGTCGCGGAAATTATACTCCTTTTTCCGGATATCTCCCGCGTTGTACGTGTTTGTTCGAAAGTTTCTTGAATTTCATAACTCATATATATATTCGTGAGTTGGGCCAGTGACCCGTCATGGACCTTGAGATCACGAGGAAGAGGAGGAAAAGGGCGATGTATAGCCAACATAGGATCAAGTGGGGAGCCTTGACGGAAGCTAAAGCGCAGGAGTTAGGGGTCAAGTTGGTGACTACGGGGGCTTGGAGGAGTAGTGGGGACGCAAGCACTATGTGGACCACGACTGCGCAGTGCATTAGGGAAGCCGCGAGAGAGGTATTAGGGGTCTCAAAGGGTTTACTCTGGTGGTCACAAGGGAGACTGGTGGTGGAATGGAGAGGTGCAAGGAAAAGTGGAAACCAAGAAAGCAACGTATTTGAAGCTAGTGGAAAGTGTAAACGAGTAGGAGAAGAGGGCGAATAGGGAGTATTATAAGTTGGCTAAGAAAGAGGCAAAGCTAGCAGTTACGGCGGCCAAGACTGCAGCTTTTAGTTGTTTGTATGAGGAACTCGAGGGCCGAGGTAGGGATAAGAAGTTGTTTAGGTTAGCCAAGGCGCGAGAAAGGAAGGCACGTAACTTGGACCAAGTAAAGTGCATCAAGGACGAAGATGGTAGAGTTTTGTTGGATGAGGGGCTTATCCGTCGGAGATGGCAGGCCTACTTCCACAGTCTCTTGAACGAGTAGGGGGACAAGAGCATTGTACTGATGATTTGGAACTCTCTGGGAGTTGTTGTGACTTTGGGTATTGTAGGCAGATTAGAGTTGATGAAGTTGAGGGGTTATGCGTAAGATGAGCAGGGGCAAAGCGACCGGGCTGGATGAAATCCCGGTGGAGTTTTGGAAGAGTGCGGGCAAGGCAGGCTTGGAGTTGCTCACTAGGTTATTTAATGTCATTTTTAGAACAAAGAAGATGCCTGAAGAGTGGGAGGTGGAGCACGATGCATGTATACAAGAACAAGGGTGATATCCAAAATTGCAATAACTATCGGGGTATCAAGCTGCTTAGCCATACTATGAAAGTCTGGGAGAGAGTGGTAGAACTAAGGGTGAGGAGAAGTGTGTCTATTTCCGAGAACCATTTTAAGTTTATGCCGGGGCGTTCGACAACAGAAGCCATCCACCTTGTTAGGAGATTGATAGAGTAGTTTAGGGAGAGAAAGGACTTGCATATGGTGTTCATCGACTTAGAAAAGGCGTAAGATAAAGTTCCGAGGGAGGTTTTGTGGAGATGTTTAGAGGCTAGAGGTGTATATGTTGCCTACGTTAGGTTGATTAAGGAAACATATGATGGAGTAAAGACCCAAGTGAGGACGGTGGGTGGGGGACTCGAACCATTTTCCGGTTATGATGGGGTTGCATCAGAGATCGGCACTCAGCCTTTTTTTATTTGCCCTGGCGATGGACGTACTGACGCGCCACATCCAAGGGGAGGTGCCGTGGTGCATGCTATTTGCAGATGATATTGTATTGATTGACGAGACGCGAGACAGTGTCAACGCGCAATTAGAGGTATGGAGGCAGACCCTGGAATCTAAAGGTTTCAAGTTGAGCAGGACCAAGATAGAATACTTGGAATGCAAGTTCAGTGGCGAGACTCAAGGAGGGGAAGGAGAGGTGAGGCTGGACTCGCAGGTCATCCCTAGGAGAGGAAAATTTAAGTACCTTGGGTCTATTATTCAGAGGGATAGGGAGATTGATGAAGATGTCACACATCGTATTGGAGCGGGATGGATGAAATAAAGACTCGCTTTCGGTGATTTGTGTGACAAGAAGGTACCACCGAAACTTAAGAGTAAGTTCTACAAAGTGGTGGTCAGACCAACGATGTTGGATGGGGCTGAGTGTTGGCCAATCAAGATCGCTCATGTCTAGAAAATAAAGGTAGCAGAGAT